GGAAACAATAACAATAACAATAACAATAACATAAGTCTTTTGTAAGTGCTTCAGAAAAATAGAAAATATTTTTATGAGGCCAGTATTATTTGATAACAAAATCACATGAAGGGAACCAGCAGTTAGCGTAATGTCTATGTCGCTGAACTCCCACGTAGTCGACTGCGGTTCGCGTCCTGGACCCGGTGGCTTAAAACTCACACCGGGCGTGTGTGCGTACATGCCCAAGATCCCGAGAGGAGAATGGAGGAGAAGAGATTGCGGTGTGGCCATCCCCCCTGGGGGGTGATTTCTCGCTTTCTGTCTCTCTGTCTCTCTCTGTCTGTCTTGCGAGCGCATGTGCCCTATAGCAAAAACCTCTCCAAAAAAAAAAAACCAAAACAGATGAAGACGTCACTAATAAAGAAAACTATGGACTAATGTTTTTTATGGACATGGTTGCAAAAATCTTCAACAAAATACTAGGAGTAGGGCCAGCTTGTTTTTGGTGGCTAAGGCAGCTGGATACCATATGGCTGACTGCATGGTTCAAATCCTGGACCCCAGGGCTCGAAAGACATGCAGGGTGAGTGTGTCTGTGCTTGTGTGTGTTCAAAATCATGAAAAGAAGGGAGAAGAGATTATGGTGTGACCATCCTCCCTGGAGGGGTATCGTTCCACTTTCCCTGCCTCTCTGTGGCAAAGGCATGCAAATCTATGGCAAAATTAAAAAAGAAAGATACTTGGAATACATTTAACCAGGGAGGCTCAAGATTTGTACATAGAAAAACTGAAAACATTTTTGAAAGAAATTAAAGACACTATATAAGTGGAAAACATCTCATGTTTACAAACTGGAAGATTTTATATTGTTAAGATGCAACTTCCTGGGACCAGCAGCTGGCGTAATGGCTATGTTGCTGGACTCCCATGTAGTCGACCGCGGTTTGAGTCCCAGACCTGGTAGCTTAAACTCACGCTGGGCGCGTGTGTGTGCATGCCCCAGATCCCGAGAGGAGAATGGAGGAGAAGGGACTTCCTGATTTCAAAACTTACTACAAAACTTCAGTAACCAAAATGGTATGGTACTAGTGTTAGGAAAAATATATAGGTCAACACAATAGAGTCAAGAGTCCAGAAATAAATCTAGAGAGGACTGAAGAATAATTACTTAGTAGGTATAGTGTTTACTTTTGGGGTGATAAAATATTTTAGAAGTAGAGGTGATGGTGGGACCAGCAGGTGGCATGGTGGTTAAGGTGCTGGATTCCCACATGGCTGACTGCATTTCAAGTTCTAGACCTGGTGGCTTGCTTTCTTATTTTCCCTTTTTCTCTCTTTGTCAAATTAAAAAAAAAAGAAAGAAAGAAATAGAGGTGATGGTTGTACAACTTTATGAAATATGTAAATGAACACTTCAGAATGGTTTATGTTATGTAAATTTACCTTAATAAAGCAGATCAGATGTTGTGTCAAATATTATTAATTTGTATTCTAAATTAAATACATTATTTTTAAAAGATGGTTTTATTTATTTAAAATTCATCATATTATTTTACTGCTAACAATTTATATTGCAATAAAAATGTATATGTTATTTATAGTTAATCCATTTAAATGTTTATGATTTGTTATTTACATTAAATCATTATACATCTCTATAACGCACCGTGTTTTCATTCCTTAAATTTTTATTTATTGCTATTGTTATTTCTTTTTTCATTTATATTCAACAGGAAGAGACAGAGAGAGACAGAGAGGGAAAAATGAGAAAGCAAGCCACTAGATCCAGGATTTGAACCATGATTGGCCATGTGGGAGTCCAGCGCCCTAACCACCATGCAACCTGCTGGACCCCGCAATATGTTTTCAAAGTATGCATGCAGTATGCCATTATCAAATCAAGGATATTACCATAAACATCATTTTCAACAGGGAACTTTGCAAGTTTCATGCATTTTTTTAAGCGTATTTATTTTTTTTCAATGAGTGAGCATGACAGAGAGACCCTGCCAGGGTCTTGACTCTGTCATCTTTCCCGTGTTTCAGTCAGCCTGGATCAGGGCACATGTGCACCTGGAATATTCAGGCCCACAGATGTGGATGTGCTTTGCAGAATGTCTAGTTTTACCACTGCACCATTGTCTGGTTCCTACACTTCATTTTAACCTTTTTAAAGTTAGTTAATTAATTATTATTATTATTATTTTATAAGGTGCATGCACTTGCCAGAGAGAGAGAGAGAGAGAGAGAGAGAGAGAGAGAGAGAGAGAGAGAGAGAGAGAGAGAGAGAGAGAGAGAGAGAGAGAGAGAGAGAGAGAGAGAAAGAAAATGAGAAGTCACCCACTCAGGTGATGGCCATGCTGCAATCCCTTCTCCATTCTCCTCTCAAAAGTTTGGGCAAGCACAGGTACCCAGTGTGAGATGCAAGCTGCAGAGTCCAGGACTCAAACTGTAGTTGACCACATGGGAATCCAGTGCCTTAACCACTATGCCACCTACTGGCCCCATGACCCTGCTTTTAATCTTTCATTTTAATTAATTAATGAATTAATTAATTTATTTTGTTTTACTTATCGATTTATTTTTTTGAGAGAGTTATCGCCATAGCACACATGGGCTCACCGGAAAGACTGAGAAACACAGAGAGACAGAAAGTGAGAAATCACCCTTGGGGGGCTGGCCATACCACAATCCCTTCTCCTCCATTCTCCTCTTGGGATTCTAGGCATACAGACACACACGCGCCTGGCATGAATTTCAAGCCTCTAGGTCCAGAATTTGAACCATGGTTGACCATGTGGGAGTCCAGGGCCTTAACCACTATGCCATCTACTGGCTCCCTGGCCCTCCTTTTAATCTTTTATTTGAATGCATTTGTGAGAGTGACACTGAGATTCAAGTGTGGATGCTCTACTATAGTGGGAAGAGAAATACAGGAGGGAACAGGCAGAGCAGAGACCAGGGCAGATCTAGGTACTTACCTGTGCCTGCAGAATAATTGAGGGCCAATGCCCCATCAGGCAGGGCCTTGCTCAGGTCTCTCAGGGAATTCTCCAGACCACCGAGCAGGTTATTGGCCACACAATGCTGCTGTGGGCGGGGCAGGGTCTTTAGGTCCCCAGGGGTCCCCAGAAGCTCATCCACATTCTTCATGAGTTTCTGGAGGAATTAGACATACCGAGCTAGTGAGCCATGGGCCATAGGGGCTGCACGAAGACCTCAATGACTCAGCTCCAGAGAACAGACCCTGGAGATTATTTAGTGGTGGTGGTGGGGTAGTAGGTGGCATGGTGATTAAGGTGCTGGACTCCCAAGTGGTTGACTGTGGTTCAAATCCTGGACCTGGTAGCTTGAAACTCATGCTGGGTGCTTGTGCGTGCATGCCCAAAATCCAAGAAGAGAATGGAGGAGAAGGGATTTTGGTATAGTCACCCTCTTAGGAGGTGATTTCTCACTTTTCTGTCTTTCTGTTCTTCCTTGTCTCACATGTACCCTATAGCAAAAATCTCTCTCTCTCTCTCAAAAAAAAAAAAAAAAAAGAGATTATTTTGGGAATAAAAATGGTACTAGATGAGAGTCCCTGGGTGGTCCTGGCCCCTGGAATATGGCTCCCTAGAAGCCAACCCTCTTAGGGCAGCTGCTGGGATGAAGTGGAAGTCACATAGAAAGGTCTTAGGTTCATGTCCCTAGGTTCATGTTTGGGTCTCCCTGTATATGTCTGGCCCATGTTACTGTGTCTATCCTGGCTGAGGCTGTGGGTTGTGTTGCATGAAGTCCATGTTGGGTGTCTAACAGTGAATAGAACTCCCAGAGTGCCATGGGGCAAGGCGGGGAGTCTGACCAGCACTCACACATCCCTGTATGGGATGCCTTCACCTTGCCTCCTCCAGGTTCTGCCCTTACCTCGATGATTTTCTGGGCTGAAGTGGACTTGACATCTTTGGCTAGAGCCTGGAATTTGTCAAAGAAGTCAGAGAGACTCTAAAAGAGAGGAGATGAGAAGGTGAGAGAGCCTTACTTAGGACTGAGGACAGATGTCTGACTACGTTTTCCTATTTTCAAACTCCCTTCCAGAGGGCCTGGGATAAGTGGCTCCCAGAAACAGTAATAGACCCCTTTGGCCAAGTTGATGATAGGATTCATTGTACATCCTGTCCTTGGAATCGTATCTTTGTGATGGGTGAGTCACACCCACAAGTGTTAACAGATCATTTGACTCACAGATAGCAGGACACTTCCAACATCCTGTCCTTGGGACAGTATCTTGTGACTTATGCAAGCCCCCTTATCTCTGTGATACTGCACTCTTTGCTGATCCCTTCCCAAAACACAGCCTTTCCTTTCCAATCACCAACCTGAGAATTGTAAAACCCACCTATGGTCTCTAAGTCTCTCCCTTCCAAATGTCCTGCCTTTTTTGGGCCAAATCACTGAGATAACTCTTTATTTATTTATTTTTTTTACTAAATTCCAAACTCTGTCACTCTCACAAACAAATAAAAGGAATCCCTCTATCTGAACACTCATAGAGAGAGCATTGTTTACCTTTTATCCAGGCCTGGTCACACATATTTCTGTTTAGGAATAAACTGCATTAATTATTATTTCTGCAGAGTTGGCTATTTCCATCGACAGAACCGAAGAGTGGATGTGGTAAAACTATGCGGAGGGATTTCCTGCCTCAGGCCCAGAGTTGGAGCCACTCACCTGGCTATGGATTCCATCGGGCAGGGTCCAGTTGGGCAAGGATACTGGTGCTGGGGATAGGACAGTGGTTTATTAGATCTGAGCATTTGTTTATGTGGGAGAGGGGGAGGTTCTAATGTCAGATGAGACCCCGTACCTTCACAGACCACACTAGATTCATTCACCAATTTTGTCTGGTTACTCCAGATCGTTTGGTTATGCTGGATTGTTTGGTTTTTCAGGCTCCATGCCACAAGCCTCCATCCTTGATGGCAGCTGCAGCTGTATGAGCCCGGGAGATTACTGCAGCGGGTGGACGGGTGACACCGATGCTGCCCAGTCCTGCACTCATTCACATCTGGGACACAAAGGAAGGAAAGGGTCAGGCCTTGTCCCAGCCCAGACCAGGGCCTGATCTCCCTCTCCCCACCCCCTCCTCGGAGAGGAAGACAGTAGCGATGGGCATGCGGGGAGGCCGGATGTCAGCAGGTGAGCCCTGTAGGATGTGTGGGTCATGAAAATACCAAAATAGGTTTTTCTCTTCCCACTTGATTGTAAGTGGCTGCGTGGAGTCACCCTGAACCTTCCCTTCCAGCCCCCAGCTCCTTCTCTGGCCAGCCCCCCACCCCGCCACCAAGATAATTTCAGAAGGATTAATACCGGCCACAGCAGGGCACCTTTTGCATTCCTTCTGCTTGGTTTGCAAGGGCGCCATGTGTGTGTGACCAAGCGAGTGACTATGGATCTCTGGAAATGTGGGGTCTGAGCTCTGGACTTTTGTAGATGCTGGTGTTTGGGCCATTGGGTGACCCAGGAACAGGCATCCAGCCAGAGTAGCATTGGCACTCATAGCTACCCATGGTGTTGAGGCAGTGGGTGGTGCCATGGCACGGGTTTTATCCAGAGGTGCACTCATTGACATCTGGGACAAAGCCATAGGGTCAGGCCCTGCATTGACTCAGTTCAGATTTCCCCTCCATTCCCTGTACCCATGTCTTTATCTTTCTACTGCCCCAAACCAAGGCTCATGACTGTGTGTCCTGCCACCTGGCGACCTTCAACTTCACTTTCAGCACACCTTATAGTGGCCTCCCTGCAAGATGGGTGCAGCAGGGACCATGATCCCCAGTTTACAGGAGGTGAAGCCAAGAGGGAAACTGAGTCCTGGGGGCTGGACTTCCTGACCAAGTGTTCCCGTTTGCTCCTCACTGGCCATGGCTGAAGTTCCCCTTTCACATGCATGTGCTAGATGGGGAAGGGGTGAGGTCTGGAGGGCTCACAAAGCCCTGTTGTCTCCCTGCCCTTTGGCAGGACTTTCCGGGGAGCCCAGTCCTTGGGGAGGGCCCTTGGATGGTCTTCTCCCTCCTGCTCCACTGTGAGACCTGCCTCTGCTGCATCCCCAGCTTCACTTCAGCCTCGGAGCTCTTCCTGGGTCTCTACCTGCACACACCACTGGGTTTGCCTCTCGGAGTGCATAGCCAGGCAGGCACTTGCAGGTGTAGTCACCAGGGGTGTTGATGCAGATGCTGTTGGCTCTACAGGGGTGTCGGTTCCGTTGACACTCATCAATGTCTGTAAGAGGAAGGAGAAGATAAAGGTGCCTGCAGGGGTGGTCAGCTTTGGGGCCAGGAGTCGGCCATGTTTCCTGGCATGAAAGCATCTGAAAGGCTCTGCTGTCTCCTTCCTGATAAGTCAGTGTCATTTGTGGTCCACACAAAGGTGTCCCACAGGACCACAATCCCCAAGTTGACTGAAGGTGAAACTAAGAGGGAAACTAAGTCCTGACCATTGGACTTTCTGAATGAGGACTCTCATCTTTTCCCTCCTTGGCCATGGCTGAGGTTCCCCTTCTCAGAGCTGGAAAAGGAGCTCCCAGATGAGGATGGAGAGAGGTTGGGGGTCTCCATGAGGGGTGGAACAGACTGTGGAAGTTGCTTGCCTCTCAGTGCCAGCTCAGGGCACGCTCACTCCCTCTGTCATCAGGAGCCCAGCCTGCCTGTGCAACCTCTCAAAAAGATGCATCACATAATGATCTATTTTTTTACAGGACGCTTTACTTACTTTCAAAGAATAAATCATCCCAATTTTATATAATTTTTTTCCTTTTTTTTTTTTGCCACAAGGCACATGCACTCACTAGAGAGAGAAGGAGAGAGAGAGGGAGAGAGGGAAAGTGTGAAATCACCACTCAACGGGGGTGGCCACATTGCAATCCCTTCTCCACCATTATCCTTCTAGGATTTTGGGGATGCATGCCTATATGTCTGGTGTGATTTTATATACACGTATACACATACATACATATATATAAAATCACACACATGTACATTGTAAATGTACATTTACAATGACTAAACTTACATTTAATCACTGTACATCTTTATGATGTACAACATGGTTTTTCCAAGCACAAATACAATGCATGTCAATCAAGACAAAGACATTACCATATATATCAGCAAATAACTTTTCATTTTTGTGTCAACTAAACACATTGTTTGTTTCTTTCCCTGTTCCCTTCCATCCCTCCCCTTATTACCACACCCTTGTTATCCCCCTTAATTTTTTTTTTTTTTTGCTGTAGGGTATGTGTGCTCATCAGAGAGAGACAGAGATAGAGAGAAGGAAGGTAAGAAATCACACCCCTGGGGGGGATGGTCACACTACAGTCCCTTCTCCATTCTCTTCTCAGGATCTTGGGCACGCATGCACACATGCCTGGCATGATTTTCAAGCTGCAGAGTCCAGAACTTGAACTACTCAGTTGGCCACCTTAACCTCCAGGCCTCCTGCTGGCTCTGTTTTGCTAACTTTATGCAATGAACCCGAGGATTTGGGTCCACACAGCTGTTCCATGAGTCTGCCTTTGGCCTTCATGTCACTCTGTCTCTTTGTGTGGGTGGGACTGGAACATTCACACCTGCCCTGTTTCAGACCTGGGCACTAGACTTGTGGCCAGAGCCTTGCCCTTTGGATGCTGCAGGAACAGCTCTGATGGACCTCATAGCCTGGGGGATGGAGAATGTGAGCTGGTTCTTACCTTGACACGTGTTCTCACTCTCATTCCTGAACGTTTTTGCCCCAGAATGGAGCTCATAGCCTGGGCTGCACATGCAGTAGAAGTTGCCCTCCGTGTTCACGCAGTCTGCGAGTTTGCCACAGGGTGGTGTCATGGGTGGTACACACTCATTGATGTCTGGAACACAAAGGGCAAAGGTCATCTCCCAAAGGTGTGAGCTCTCTCAGGGCAGACTCTGCTTTCCAACCTGACCCCACCATGAGACGGGGTCAGGTTGGAAAGCAAGAACTAAGAACTAAGCTCCCAGGGGATACTCAGGGCTGGGTTATTCAGGACACCCTGCTTGTCTTTCTGCTCATCTCTGGTCTCTGACTTGGCCTGAGGATCCTAAATTTAGACACAGGGGCCATGCTAAGATGAGGCCAGGTGGGGAGACTGCCTCCTCCTCTCTGGTTCTTCAGGGGTACATGAAATCAATGCTGTGGTTTGAATGTCCCCCTCATCCTCCAATGTATGGGCTCAAAATGGGTTGCTAGGGAATCAGCAGGTGGTGTAGTGATTAAGGCACTGGACTCCCACATGGCTGATTCTGGTTTGAGTCCCGGACCTGGTGGCTTGAAAATTTCACTGTGTGTGTGTGTGTGTGTGTGTGTGTGTGTGTGTGTGTGCCCAAGATCCCAGGAGGAGAATGGAGGAGAAAGGATTGCAGTGTGACCATCCCTCCTAGGGGGTGATTTCTCTGTCTCTCTGGCAAGCACATGTGCCCTATAGCAAAAATCTTAAAAAAAAAAAAAAAAGAATTGCTATTGTGATGGTATTAAGAGGGCAGAAACCCAATGTGACTATGGGACCCATAGGATGTAGTTAGGATTAGGCAAGGTCATCAGGGTGGGTCCCTCATGATTGACTACTGCTAACTTTATTTATTTAAGAGATTTTTGTTATAAGGTGCATGCATTCTCCAGAGACACAGAGAAAGACAGAGAGGGAGAAAGTGAGAAATCACCCACCCCCCCACCCCGGGAGGATAACCACACTGTAATCCCTTCTCCTCCATTCCCCTCTTGTGATTTTAGGCACACATACACATGTACCCGGTGTGAGTTTCAAGCCACTGGGTCCGGGACTTGAACTATAATTAGCTGTGTGGGAGTCTAGCACCTTAACCATCGCACCACTTACTGGCTCCAACTACTGTTAAATTTACAAGAGGACAGAGAGGGCCAGGCAATGGTGCAGTGGTAATGCAATGGGGATCACATGGGAGAGATCCTGGCTTGGCACACACGCTCTTACCCTCTTGCCGTGTGATGCCCTATGCCGCCACGGGATTCTACAAAGTCCCCACCATCAGGAAGATCCTCAGTAGATATGGCTTCTTGACTTTGGACCTTCAAAACTATGGGACCAGCAGTTAGCGTAATGGCTATGTCACTGGACTCCCATGTAGTCGACTGTGGTTCGAGTTCCGGACCCAGTGGTTTAAACTCATGCCAGGTGCGGGTGAGTGCGTGCCCAAGATCCCGAGAGGAGAATGGAGGAGAAGGGATTGTGGTGTGGCCATCCCCCCCGGGGGCTGATTTTATGCTTTCTGTCTCTCTCTGTCTTTCTGCTGAGTGCACGCGCCCTATAGCAAATACCTCTCCAAAAAACAAACAAGCAAACAAAAACCAAAAACACCCAACCCCCTCCCCCCCCAAAAAAAAACCCCAACAAAAAACCAAAACAAAAAAAACTGTGAGCTGAATAAATCCTTATTCTTGGTATATTACCCAGCCTGTGGTGTTCAGTAATTAGCAACAGAAGGATAGACTAAGATGGGCTTCAGTCCAGGCTCTGGATCCACTGTGTGGTGGTGTCGGCACCATCAGAAACCTGGGAAGTGGGCTCTAAGGAGGGTAATAGAGACATTGAGGCCCCCTCGATGCCAAGGCCGTGGGGAGAGTCATGGCTCAGGCTGACCTTGTGTGACACCCAACCATTCACACCTGAGGAGAAAGCCGAGTCCTTCTACTTCCCTTTACTCTCAGCGGGCTAAGTACATGCCACGCCCACCACAAGGAGTTTCCCCAGCCCCAACATCTCACGTAGAATGTGGTATTGACGGGAGGCCCTTTCTAGATGCCCCAGTACGCCCCCATGATAACCTTCCTGTCTCTCCCACCGGGGGCTGAGGAGCTTCTCCTTATCAGAGCCAGTCTCCTGTGAAATGAGGAAGCGACTCAAAGGGTCTTACTGCTGAGTCACTGAGGGTGTTTTCTAGCAGCTTATCTCTCCTCTGAAGACGTTGGGAAAGATGCCTACAGACCGGTTTCCCTTTAAGCAGCTCAGGGACCCACAGAGCAGAGGTAGGTCACTTTTTTTTTAAGATAAAAATTTTATTTAATTTTATGTATCATTATTATTTATTTATTTATTTATTTTTTTCGGGAGAGGTTTTATGCTATAGGGCGCATGCACTCTTCAGAAAGACAGAGAGAGACAGAAAGTGAGAAATCGCCTCCCAGGGGGGATGGCCACGCCGCAATCCCTTCTTCTTCATTCTCCTCTTGGGATCTTGGGCATGCACACATACGTGCCCGGCATGAGTTTAAGCCACCGGGTCTGGGACTCGAACTGCGGTCGACTACATGGGAGTCCAGCGACATAGCCATTACACAAACTTCTGGTCCCTATCATTATTATTTTTAAATTTGCTACAGGGCACATGTACACCCCAGAGAGAGACAGAGAGAGAGAAACTGAGAAAGCAAGCCGCCAAGTCTGAGACTTGAACCGTGGTCGATTATGTGGGAGTCCATTGCCTAAATCATCATGCCACCTCTTGGTACCCTTTCTTTTAGGTTTTTGCCTTAGGGTGTGTACACTTGCCAGAGAGACAGAGAGAGGGAAAGTGAGAAATCACACCCCAGGAGAATGACCATGCTACAATCCCTTCACCTCCATTCTCCTCTTGGGATTTTGGGCATGTACGCACTCATGCCTGGCATGAGTTTCAAGCTTCTGGGTCCAGGACTCGAACTGTGGTCAGCCACGTGGAAGTCTAGCAATGTAACTATGATGCCATCTACAGGTTTCTAGAGCATGATTTTCAACCCACCAGGTCTGGGACTTGAGCCTTGGAGTTAGCTATGTGGGATCCTGTGCCTTAACCTCCATGCCACCTGCTGCCCCACCTTTCTCTTTTTGATAAAGTGCTTCTGCACTGCTCTCAGGGTTGAGGGCTCCAAATGCCCCATGATCTCGCCTACAATCTCCAGCATGCCCCTGCATGCCCCCCACAACTCTGTACCATCACAACTCTCCGTGATGTTGGTAAAAATCTCTCCAGAGGCTGAACTGAATCCCGGATCGCAGCGACAGGCGGTGGCATTGATGCATGAGGACCTCCGCGGGCACCACGGGGCACAGCCTGTGGGGATGGAAACCATGGTGAGGAGGTCAAAGGAGTGGAAGATGCCAGCTTCCATCTAGGAGCCCCAGAGGGGAGAAGGGGAGAGGTGAGAAGGGATGGCTGCCATCCAAGAGGGAAAATTCAGGAGCCTGGGCATGAGGAGAGAAGAGACACCTTCTGTTATGTCCAGAAGAAGACCATCTCCTAACGTCACATGCAGAATAGGTCTCCTTGCCGTTTGACGAGGAGATCCAATAGTGCACTCCCCAACATATGTCAGAGTGGTCCTGGCCGGGCAGACTCACCTGGAGGGCTCTGGGCTGCAGCTCCCAATGCCAACACCAGTAGAGCAGAGAGCCCTGGGGGCAGAAAGATGGAGAGGTGATAGAGGACAATCAAGCTCCATTAAAATTTTTTTTTAAATTTAGTTTTCTTTCTTTCTCTTTTCTCTTTTTCTTTTTTTCTCTCTCTTTCTTTCTTCCTTTTTTCTTTCTCTCTTTCTCTCCCTCCCTCATTTCCTCCTTCTTCCTTTTCCTTCCTTCCTTCCTTCCTTCCTTCCTTCCTTCCTTCCTTCCTTCCTTCCTTCTCTTTTTCTTTCTTTCTTCCTTCCTGTTTTTTTCTTTCCCTTTTCTCTCTCTCTTCCTTTCTCTTCCTCCCTTTCTTCCTTCCTTCCTTCCTTCCTTCCTTTATCTCTCTCTCTCTTTCCTTTCTTTCTTCTTCCTCTTTCTCTCTTTCTTATTTAACTTGACCAGAGAGAGACAGAGCAAGAGAGCAAGAGAGAGGAAAGTGAGAAAGCAAGCCACCAGGTCCAGGACTTGAACTGTGGTCAACCATATGGGAGTCCAGTGTTTCTAACCACCATGCCATCCCCCAGCCCCTTGAGCTCTATTTCTAATCCCTGTCCTCATGGCCATTGAATCCCTGCAGCCCACGGTTTCCAGCAGTTATCTCTGAAGTTCTTCCCATCAGCTCCTGCACTTTGCATGGAATAGTAGGCTCAGCCACCTCCATCTCTTGGGAATTCCCAAGAAATCAGCCACTGACAGGCCCTTGTGGAACTTCAGCTGTTGTAGGTATGGAATAACAGGGACACCAGACCTAGGTTGTGATCTCTGGCCATGGCGGAAACCTGCTTTGAGGTTTTCTATTCCAAACACACTCGCCCTACTTAAGCATCATGTTCAGGGTGTATAGGAAGAGCATGGGTTTTGGAGTCAGACACTTTGCAGTTTGAGCTCTGGCTCACACAATACTAACAGGATATGGGGGACCAGTAGATGGGATAGTGGTTACATCGCTGGGCTCCCATGTAGTTGACTGTAGTTCAAGTCCCGGACCTGGAGGCTTGAAACTCAAGCAGGGTGCGTGTGTGTGTGTGCCCCAAATCCCAGAATGGAGGAGAATGGGTTGCAGCATGGCCATTATCTCTGGGGGATTATTTTTCACTTTCTATCTCTCAGTCTCTCTGGTGAGTGCATGTGGCCTATAGCAAAAATCTCTCAAAAATAACACCAAAAAGAAAAACAGGTTATGGGTCCCTGAAACAGAGTGAGGGGGAAGGAATGATAGGTGTAACTGAGAACTTGCAGATCAACTCACATCTCCAGGTTAAAATCCCTCTCTGGTATAGGTCCCCTGGCTACTGCTTTTCTTCCTCCTAGTTCACTCCCCTCTCCACTCCTCTTTCTTTCAACCTCCTCCGTATCCCTTTATTTTTTAAAGAATTATTTACTTTATTATTATTTCTAAATTGAGAGAGAGAAGGGAGAGTGAGGGAGAGAGAAGGGAGAGTGAGGGAGAGAAAGAGAGAGAGAGAGAAAGAAAGTGAGAAATTATCCCCTGTGGGGATGGCCATGCCACAACCCCTTCCTCTCCACTCTTCTCTTGGAATTTAGGGCACACACGCACCCGGTGTGAACTGGGACTCGAACCATGATCGATCATGCAGGAGTTCAGTACCTTAAACACCATGCCACCTGCTGGCCCCTCTTCTTTTTAGTTTGCCAAAAGGCATGTGTGCTCTCAAGAGAAAGAGGAGGAGAGAGGGGAAGTGATAAATCACCACCCGGGGACATGGTCATGCCACAATCTCTTCCCCTCCATTCTCCTCTCAAGATTTTGGACATACACACACATGTGCCTGGTGTGTTTTTCAGGCCACTGGGTCCAAGGGTCAAAGCATGGAGTTGACCACGTGGGATTCAGGGCGTTTTTTTTTTTTAAATTTTTTATTTGATTTTTTTTTTACATTAATTCATTATACGTCATTATAGTATACAAAAATGAATTTTCCATCCAAAATACACTGTCTATTGGTGCAATAAATTACATCAACATACATGCTATCAACCAATACTTTTCCATTCCTTATGTCTTGTATATTTTGCTCTTTTTTTTTTTTTTGCCTTCCTTAATTTCCTATCCCTAACCCTCTGCCCTGTCCAACCCTCCTCCCACATGGGATTCAGGGCTTTAACCACCATACCACTGCTGGTCCAAGAACCCCACATTTCAACACCAAAATGTGGAGCCAACAGGTAGCATGGTGGTTAGGGTGCTGGTCTCCCACATGACTGACCACAGTTCAATTCCCAGACCTGACACCTTGTTTTCTCACTTTCTCTCTCTCTCTCTCTCTGGTGAGCACATGTGCCCTATAGCAGATTAAAAAAATAATAGTAAGGGTAATAAATAAAATTAAATAAATAATTCTTTAAAAAAATGAAAAAGAAGTGGTAAGATGGTAAATTCTTGAGCCAGCAGGTGAGTGGTGGTTAAGGCACTAGACTCCCACATGGCCAGCCACGGTTTGAGTCCTAGATCTGGTAGCTTGAAAATCATGTTGGGTGTGTGTGTGTGCATTCCCAAAATCCCAAGAGGAGAATGGAGGAGAGGGATTTGCAGCATGACCATCCTTCCCTAGGTGTTGATTTCCCACTTTCCCTCTGTCTGACTGTTTCTCCTATGAGTACATACACCCTATGGTGAAAATCTAAAAAAAGAAAAAAAAAAAAGAAAGAGAGAGAGAGAAAAATTCTTGTTAAGCTTTTGAATTTGTCATAGCAGTACATTTTTTATTAACTTTCTTGTTTTGGAACTTAATGTAAATGAACTAGCATCCTTCCCCCAAATTTTCCCCTGTTTATACAGACAGGGAGAAAGAAACCAGACATCAAAGTGAAGGACTGCGAAGATTCTCAAACTAGATAATTAGCTCCCAGACGTATTTGTCTATTGTTAATATCATAATTCGACCTACCTGGCAGCAACCTTAAACACCTATTTCTCATGGTGCAGGTGTCCGCAAGCCCAGCCATGGGAGACGTTCATGCCCAGTGTGCTGTGAGTTAGGAACCACTTCCTTTTTATCTGTGGCTGACGTCTAAGATAAGTGGACTTTGGCAACCGTCAGTCGGCATGCCTTCTTCCCCTAATCTCTCCTATGATTTCTCAGAAACTCATGGTTCTATTTTTCTCTCTTAGGAGGAAAAGAAGCAGGTATATATATATTTTCTTTCTTTATCCATGAAGGAGTGCACGCACATACACCAGAGGGAAAAAGAGAAAAAACAGAGTAAGAGAGAGGTGAACACTCTCCATAGGGTCTTGTCCACACTGTGATTCCCTTCTTCAAGCCCTCCAGCTCATTGGATCTTGTGCGTTTGCATATGTACTTTGCATGTGCCAGGCTGACCAGGCTAGCGATTTAAAGCATAGTCATCATGTGGCTTGTAGCAAAGTCTGGCACGCTTCCCACCGTGACGCAGAGGAGGAAGCATGGTTCTACTTTTAAATATTTACTAGTGTTGCTCGTAATTGTGAAAACCTCCTTAAGAGTAATTCATAAGTTTTTTTTTTTTTTTACTTTTGCTATAGGGCATGCATCATGCTTGCCTGGAAAAGAGAGAGAGAAAGACAGAGAGAGAGAGAGAGAGAGAGAGAGAGAGAGGAAGAAGAAGAAGAAAAGAAGAAGAAAAGAAGAAAAGAAGAAGAAGAAGAAAAGAAGAAGAAAAGAAGAAGAAGAGAAGAAGAGGAGGAGGAGGAGGAGAGGAGGAGGAGGAGAAGGAGAGGAGGAGGAGAAGGAGAGAGAGAAATCCTGCCTCCTCCATTCTTTTCTCAGGATTTTGGGCATACATGCACACATGCCTGGCGTGGACAGGGAGACCTCAGGACATAAACTGGGCCCATCCCATGTGAGCTCAATTGCTTTATCTCTGCACCACGGCCTGGTTCCATTATTGATAAATAACTCAGTAGTAGTGTGCATATTATATTCTAATTTGCTCAATTTATTTTATTTAAAATTTTTGCCATGGGGTGCATGCATGCTCTGGAGACAGGGAGAGAAAGAGGGAAACACGTCTCTGGAGGGATCATTGCACTGTAACCCCTTCTCCTCCGTTCTCCACTTGGAGTTTTGGGCATGCACTCACACGCGCTCGGTGTGCTTTTCAACTCACTGACTCTGGGACTTCAACCGCGCAGTCGGCTCTGTGGGATCAGGGTACCTTAACCTCCATGCCATCTGCTGGCCCCAAGTTCCTTTTTTTTTTTTTTTTAAGTTTTTTTTTTGCCATAGGGTGTGTGTGCTCACCAAAGGAGAGGGACAGACACAGAAACAGAAACAAAGAGAAGGAAAGTGAGAAATCATTCCCCAAGGGGTAATGGCCAGGCCATAATTCCCTCAACTCCATTCTCCTCTTGGGATTTTGGGCATGCATGCACACATGTCCTGTGTGATTTTCAAGAAGCTAGGTCTAGAACTTGAACCGCGATCAACCATGTGGGAGTTCAGCACTTTAAACAACTACGCCACCTGCTGGCCCTGAATACTATATTTCTTAAGCTCTTGAGACACTAACAAAATGGACTATTCTCAATAGATAAAAATAGGCTGTATCAAATTTGGTATTTTTTTTAAATTGCCATAAGGTGTGTGTGCTTACCAGAGGAGAGTGAAAAAGCAGTTCTGAATGGGGTATAATCATGCTGCAATCCTTTTACTTCTATTTCTCCATCCTGTTGATATTTTGGGCATATATGCACACATGCCCAGTGTGTTAACTCTCTGTTTATGTTTCTATTCTTTTAAAAAAAGATTTACTGGGGCCAGCAGGTGGCTTGGTGGTGAAGGGTGCTGGACTCCCACATGTCCGATTGTAGTTTGAGTTCTGGACCATTTGGCTTGCTTTCTCTCTCTCTCTCTCTGTCTGTCACTCTATGGGCAAATTGAAATAAATAAATGAATGAATAAATAAAGTTAAATAAAATAATTAAAAAAGATTTACTTAATTTAAGTGATTATATAATTATTTTCTTAACTTGCTATAGGGTATATGTGCTCACCAGAGAAAGATGGAGAGAGAGAGAGAGAGAGAGAGAGAGAAAGAGAGAAAGCAAGCTCACTCAAGACTTGAACTGCAGTTGGCCATGTGGGCATCCAGCACCATAACCACCATGCCACCTGCTGGCCCCCATGCTTCTTTTTCTAAAAGAAAGATGGCTGCCCCCAGTTCTCTGTCTTTGCACATGCCCACCTTCCTCCCTGTTTCTATGGCCATGGTGAGACTCACACCAGAGGCCAGCCTGAAGCCTGCCCCATGGCTTTGGCATTTCTAGCCACCAGAATTGTAAGCCAAAACTTTTTTTTCCAGTTTTTTGCCTTAGGGTGTGTAAACTTGCCAGAGAGGGAGATAGAGACAAAGAGACAGAAAGTGAGAAGTCATCCTCCAAGGGAATGATCATGCCTCAATCCCTTCTACGTTCTCCTCCTGGGATCTTGGGCATAGGTTCACACACATCTGGAGTGATTTTGAAACCATTCCGGGTCTGGGAATTGAACCGTGGTTGGCCATATGGGAGTCCAGTGACATAACCACTATACCATCTGCTGGTTCCATCTCTATCATTTTTTAAAATTAAAATTTAAATTTCTTTTTTCTTTTTTTTGGGAGAGATTTTTGCTATAGGGCATGTGCGCTCACCAGACAGACAGAGAGAGATATAGAGACAGAAAGCAAGAAATCCCCCCCCAGGGGGGATGGTCACGCCGCAATCCCTTCTCCTTCATTCTCCTCTTGGGATCTTGGGTACGCACACACATGCGCGGGGTGTGAGTTTTAAGCCCCCGGGTCCGGGACACGAACCACGGTCGACTACATGGGAGTCCAGCGACATGGCCATTACACTAACTGCTGGTTCCCTCAATTTCTTTTATACATTCAATCACATTATTTAGTTTGCAAAGGGAGTATTCCAACACGTGTCCAGCATGGCAAAAGACATGGCAATTAGTGTGAAATGACAACCCTCAGAATGGAAAAAATATTTTGTAAACTATGAGTCAGATTAGGGACTGATAAGCAGAATACACATCTCTATTCTTTACAAATCACCCTGTCTCGAGAGTTTTGGTTAAAAACATAATGGACTGAAACAGTGACCTTACAGTTCCCATCACATTTCCACCATGACAGTGTAGCATGAAGGAAGCCATAGACAATACGTCAATGAATGGACTGGCGGTGTGCCAATAAAACTTTATTTACAAAAATAAGCCAGTAGGCTGTATTTAGCCTGTATGCTGTGGTTTTCCAGACCTTGGCTTCAAGGCTGGATTAGGTTAAGGTTAGACTGATTTGTAAAAAAACTCTTCATTGACCACAAAGGTGATATTGAGATGTCCTGTCTTATGAGGAGATATTTGATGTCACATTTTCCCATAATTTAGTGATGGCTAAATTCAGATGGTGACTGTCACATTGTGAAGGTAGGAGTTAGCTGAGCATGCTGTATGGTCCAGAAAACCCCAAATCTGCAGAAACAGAGTGTCAAAAACAATATTTTGTCCCACAACGGTTCCACAAAGACAGTTACTTGTAGCAAAGAGCAGAAAGCATCTTTTTAATACTCTTATCCAGTGGATGATGGTTCAGTGTTTTCCTCATTTTTCAGGAGACAGGACCATCAAGTTGAGCTGCTCATTAGAATTCTCCTGAGAAAGAAGGTGTAAAAGAATTTGTGTTAAAGAATTGCAAGATTGGGGCCCAGCAGGTGGTGAAGTGGTTAAGGTGTTGGACTTCTACATGGCCGACTGTGGGTTGAGAAATCATGGGAGGTGCGTATGCATGCGTGCCTAAAGTCCTAAGAGGAGAATGGAAGAGAAGGGGTTGTGGTGTGGCCATCACCTGGGGGGAGTGACTTCTCACTTTCTGTCTCTTTGCTGAGTGCACGTGTCCTGTAGCAAAAATCTCTTAAGAAAAAAAAAAAAAGAGTTGCAAGATTGGACCTGGAGGACATTATGTTAAGTGAAAAAAGCCAGGCAGAGTAAGACAAGTACTGCATGATCTCATTTCCATGTGGAATCTAAACATGCCAAAGTCACAGAAGCAGAGAGTAGAATGTTGGTTACCAGGGGCTGTAGAGTGGTTTGGAGAGTCTTGGTCAAACGATACAACATTTCAGTTGAATAGGAGTAATAACTTCAAGAGTTCAATTGTACAACATGGTGCCTATAGTTAATAATAGACTGTGTTTTTTGTTTGTTTTGTTTTTGATGTAGGTGCGTGTGCTTGACAGAGAGAGAGAGGCAGAGAGAGAGGGAGAGAGAGAGAGAGAGAGAGAGAGAGAGAGAGAGAGAGAGAGAAATTATTCCCTGAGTGGGAGGTGAGGGCAGCCATGTTGCAATTCATTATCCTCCATTCTCCTCTCAGAAATTTATTTTTATTTTTTTAGGTTTTACCATAGGGCAAATGCAGTTACTGGAGGACAGATAGAGAGACAGAGGGAAAGTGAGAACTTACAAGGAGAATGACCATGCCATAATTCCTTCTCCACTCCTTTCCTGGGATTTTGGGCAGGCAATGCACATGTGCCTGGCATGATTTTCAAGCTGCCTGGTCCAAGACTTGAACCTTGGTCTGCATGTGGGCACCCAGCACCTTTACTCACACATCCTGCTTCCCCCATCTTTACATTATTTGGGGTCTGTTAAATGTTTCTTTCCTTTGCACCTCACACCCACCCTCATCAACCACTCTCCACTACCTCCTCCCCTTTTAATTAGAGAGCTTTTGTTATAGGGAGCATGTGCTTGCTGGAGAGACAGAGAGAGAGGAAGACAGAGAGAAAGCAATAAACCAACCCCCGGGGGGATGGCCATGTGGTAATCCCTTCTCCTCCATTCTCCTCTCAGTATTTTGGGCATGCGTTTACATGCGCTTGGCATGAGTTTAAACCGCTGGGTCTGGGACTTGAACCACGGTCACCTATGTGGGAGTTACACCATCTGCTAGTCCCCCATCCCCCTTCTTTATAGTGTCTGGTATCTATACTTATCCTCTCTATTCTCATATCTTCAGACCTTTCCATTTATGCCATGAAGGGTGGACATTTGGTTTGTATTGAGTGGTGTCCTGGAAGAAATCTTAGTGAGCCTGAACTAAAGCTTAACGTTGAGAGAGTCAAGTCTAAAGTGCAGACAGGAGCTGTGCTACACACATCCTTGCTATTTATTTTATTTTATTTATTATTATTTTAAAATTTGCTATAGGGCATGAAATTTTTAAAAAAATGTGTACTTTCAACATCAAGAGAAATCTTATTTTTTTGAACTTTATTTATTTTAATTTGATCAGAGAGAGATAGAGTGAGAGAGAGAGAGAGAGAGAGAGAGAGAGAGAGAGAGAAAGCAAGACTTGAACTGCGGTCGGCCATGTGGTAGTCCAGCGTCCTTAACCACCACATCACCTGCTGGCCCCGGGCATGCAAATTAGAGAGAGAGAGAAGGAGAGAGAGAAAAAGAGAGAGCAAGAGTGAGAGCGAGATAGAGAGAGAGAGAAATAAACTGCTAGATCCAGGACTCGAACCATGGTTGGTCATGTGGGAGTCCAGCATGTTAACAACCATGCCACCTGCTGGCCCCCCACAAATCATTTTGATTAAACAATTTTGGTGTTCCTCTGGGCTGGGGATTTGAACCAGACTGATACGCAGCTTCTAACTCTGCAGTCTGATATGTTACCCTCTATGCCACAGATGCTGGGCCAAATCTTTAATTCTTGCTTATTTACATAGCCTCCTTCTCTGCTTATAAATTTTGTGTATTCTTGCCGAGGGAAAAAATCTAAGACTAAAAGCACATGCTGGACCATACAGCAGTGCTCCTTTGAGTTTTTTGAACCATTAAAAAGAAAGAAATTGTGTCATCAGAGGTTAAATAGGTGAGCCTGGAGAACAACATGGAAAGTGAAATAAGCCAGGCACAGGAGAAGAAATAGCACATACATGGAAATGGAAAAAAAAATGGTGGACTTGGCAGTTTGAGTTCCAGAAACTTGAAAAACAAACCAGGTGCATGCGCATGTGTGCCCAAAATCCTGAGAAAAGAATGGAGGAGAAGGGATTGCAGCATGGCCATTCTTTTTGGGGGTGATTTCTCACTTTCCTCCTCTCTGTCTCTGTTAGAAAGCACACATGCCCCATTTCAAAGCTAAAAAAAAAAAAAGAAAAGAAGAAAAATAAAAAGAATTCCTCCTGCCAAAAATCCATATGCACCATATTTTGCATCTCACGTGAGCTCAATGCATGGAGAATGAGGGGACAATCATGTACATGAAACAAGGTCACACATGAGCAAGACTAGAGGAAGAGGGTAGGGTAGTGTTTCTGAGTAGAATATCCCCCGCTGCTTCAGACCACCACTTCTGGCTCATTGAGTTGACCATGCAAAGCACACAGTAGTGTCCAATAGTGTGTTCACATGGACACCTCAAGATGAGCATAGTTCCCCAAGGCATCAAAGCTTAGGAGTGTTAGAAACAAACTAGGCTGAGCCCCTTGCTAATGGCTAACGAGCCCAGGAGCAAACCAAGCATGAGCCAGCCCAGGGCATCCCTCGCTGTGTGCCCAGGCTTCCTGGTGTGATAGACACTGCTGCTAGGGAAACGCTCTGGGAGTCACGCGTGGTCTTACCGTGTTGGGTTTGGAGGTGTCCAATGTACCCCTGCTGGAGAGCATGTGCATCTCAGACTCAGCTCTTGGTTTCCAGATCCCTTTGAACCATTTCCTATATTGCTCCCGGACCTGCAGAGGCAAAACATGCTCTGAGCCAGCTCAAGAGAGCATGCAGTTGGGGAGGGTCCTAGTTGGGGAGCTGGGCAGAGGTACCTGCTGACTGAGAAGGCAGTAGACCAGGAAGATGAAGACTCCCTGCAGGGTGTTGATGATGGTGAAGAGGTAGGCCATGACCTGGGCACCTGGACCCACCTGCAGGAGGCCCAGACACCAGGTGCAGCCCAGGATGAGGAGCTGAGCCAGTGCTTTAAATGTCAGCATCCTGAGTAGGAGGAGAAAGGGTATTACGTTCCTAGAGTGGTGGGATTGAACTAAAACACCTCCATCTTTCAGCTGTATGTTGCCCTTGCTTCCTCTTTTTGCTCAGAGTAAATAAAGTGATTAATAGTCTTGCTGTCTTTGCTAACTAGCCAGAAACCTTTTTGTTTAGATGTTCCTTAGCAATGTAATCACCAATCACCAGACCCCTGCCTGGAGTCATGGGGACCATTAAACAAAGCTCTGGAGAGTGTCCTTAGAAATCATTAAGCTGCTTGATCAGGATTCTGTAACTCTTTTGCATAGGAATTAACTCCCTTTTCTCTCCTCATTTTCCTTTGTAATCACCATGACAATCCGGAAATGATTGTGATTCTTGTCTTTATATGCACCCCTATCCTTTCACTCGAGACTGTGGGGTCTTTGAGAGACATGAGTCCCCCTGCAGTTGCCTGCAATAAAACTGAAATAATTTGTCAATGTCTGGGTGTCCTCTTATTTCTTGCTGATTTGACTACAACAGGATCAAGGCTGTTTTTGTCTCCACCCATGGAGGCCCCTGCTCTCTCCTGTAGGTGATTCTGACTGAGTTGTGATCATTTTAGGTCTTTATTGTTAAGACTATGGTTTCTTTTTTTTCAGAGAGTTTTTTTTTTTCCCCCTATATGGTGCATGTGCTCCCCCGAGAGATAGAGACAGAAAGTGAGAAATCATCCACCCAGGAGCATTGGCCATACTGCAATCCCTTTTCTTTCATTCTCCTCTCAGAATTTTGGGCATGCACACACACTCACTCAGCATGAATTTTAAGCTGTTGGGTCTAGGACTCGAACTGTGATTGATTACATGGGAATCCGGCAACATAACCATTATGCCATCTGTTGGTTCCAAGACTATTGTTTCAATGTCTCCCTCCAAATCCGTGTGTTGAGATTTGGTTGTGATGAGATTAAGAAGGTGAAAATGTGGTCTGATTACGGTGTCGAAAGGGGGGACATTTGGGAGGAGATTAGAGTGAAGATCATTAAGGCAGGGCCCACATGATTCATTACGATGGGTTTATAAGGAAAGGGAATGAGACCAGGAGATGCATGGTCCATGCCCTCTTGCCATCTACCCTGTTGTGATGCTGTCAGAAGAATTCCATCAGATATGGTCCCTGGACCTTGGACCATGGATCTCCACACCATGAACTGACTAAATCTCTTCTCTCCTAAATTGCCTGGACTCAGGTAATGTTTTCTTTTCTTTGATTTTCCTTCCTTCCTTCCTCCCTTCCCTTCTCTTCTCTTCCCTTCCCTTTTCTTTCTTTCTTTCTTTTTTTCTTCCCTTCCTTCCTTCCTTCCTTCCTTCCTTCCTTCCTTCCTTCCTTCCTTCCTTCCTTTCTTTCTTTCTTTCTTTCTTTCTTTCTTTCTTTCTTTCTTTCTTTCTTTCTTTCTTTCTCTCTTCTTCCTTCCTTTCTTTCTCTCTCTCCTTCCTTCCTTCCTTCCTTCCTTCCTTCCTTCCTTCCTTCCTTCCTTCCTTCCTTCCTTCCTTTTCTCTTTCTTTTTTTCTTTCTCTCTCTTTTCTATTGATTTTTTTCTTCCTTCTTCCTTCTTTCCTTTCTCTTTCTTTCTTTCTTTCTCTCTCTCTCTTTTCTTTTATTTATTTTTACATTTTCCACAAACATTTACTTTACATATCAAACATTTTTGCTCATACTCCATAATTCATAAGTTAAACAACTTAAAAAATTTCACAATTCTTTTCCCTTGTGGGAGAGATATTTTCTTGGTTTCTCATGTTTCTTGTGTCTCTGCAGTGGTTTCTGGTCATTCTGTTTTAAAATATCTCCTCCACTGTGCTTGTCTGCATATTTTGGGAGTCTAGAAGATGAAGTTTAGAGCATAGCTTCCCATCTATCTTCTTTTTTTTTTCTTTCTGACATGGACTAAGGAGGGCAGTAACCCTTCATAATTTAAGTTTCATAAGTTTTGAAATGTTCGGACCAGCAGTTGGCATAATGGCTATGTTGCTGGACTCCCATGCAGCTAACTGCGGGTCAAGTCCTAGACCCAGTGGCTTCAACTTACGCCGGGCGCGTGTGCGTGCATGCCCAAGAATGGAGGAGAAGGGATTGCGGCATGGTCATGCCCCCTGGGGGGTGATTTTTCACTTTCTGTCTCTGTCTCTCTCTAGCTTTCTGGCGAGTGCACACATCCTATAGCAAAAACCCTCTTATAAAAAGTTTTGTAATGTTCCATCCACTGCAATTTTATCCAGTCAACATTTTTTTCTTAATTAAAAAAGTATTTATTTATTTAATTTTATTTGTTATTATTATTTAATTTGTTATAGGGCATGTGTGCTCACTGGAGAAATAGGGAGGGAGAGGGAGAGTGAGAAAGCAACCTGCCAGGTCTGGGACTTAAATCATGGTCAGCTATGTGAGAGTCCAGCATCTCAACCACCATGCCACCTGCTGGCCCTAAGGCACACATCTTTGCTATTGGAAACCATAGATATCTTTGGGGTTACCACCTTCTTCATCTTACCTTGTGTTCTGGAGGGTGGACACATCACTATTGAGGGAGGACAGTTTACTTTTCAAAAGCCAGATGGTCATCAAAAAGAAAGCTAAATTGACCTTCAAGAAAATACAGGTTAATCGAACAAAATGTAAAAACTGTTACTTCTTTATCTTAGCCCATACAATATTAATTCTATACTTAAGTAGTTTCTAATATGTAATAACAGTATTACGGTTTGTAGATTTAGGAGAAGTCTTAGAAAATTCAACCCAATCCTTAACAACCTGGGGCTATTTCTGCTTCTATTATCATCCTTATAATTCTGCTCTTCTCCTTTTTTAAAAATTAAAATAAAAATTATTATTATTTTGAAATTTGCTATAGGGCATGTGAGAGAGAGAGAGAGGGAGGGAGAGAACAAGTCTCTAGGTTTTGGACTTGAACAATGGTTGGCCATATGGGAGTCCAGGACCTTAACCACTGAGCCACCCACTGACCCCATGATCCTGATCTACTAATAACTATCATCTGGGAAGTATGGAAGCTCTGATGACGTCACTTACGGAAAAGATGGTGCAGACAGGTCCAAGGAATGCCCATATAAATCCCTTTTCTGGGTTTAGCCAGCAGCTAAGCAACAGAGAGGATAAAGAAATGCATTGGTCTCTGGGATATAGAGCAGATATGTAAATCACCCACCCATCTGTATATCCATTCATCAACAGTAACGAATAGCTCTTTTGTGATAGGATCTATGGCAATGCAATGGTTAAGAAAGTAAACACGCAGAAAGATGAATCTGAACCTCTATCTCTCACCATTAACAAAAATCAACTCAAAGTAGATCAGAGATCTACACCTAAGAGTTCAAACTATAAAACTATTGATGAAAAACACTGGGGAAATTCTAGGAGACATTGAGATAGTCAAAGACTTCTTAAATAAGACCACCAAAGCACAAGTAATAATCCTAAAAACAGACAAGTGGGATTACATCAGATTAAGAAGTTTCTGCATGGCAAAAGATACAGTAAGTAGTGTGAATCAGCAACCCTCAGAATGGGAGAAGATCTTTGTAAACTATGCCTCAGATAAGGGACTGATAACCAGAATACACAGGTAACTCAAGTGACTTACTTCCCTCCCCCCTCCCCCCAAAAAAAGATGAACCCAATCAAAAGATGGGAAAAGGAGCAGAATAAACAACTCTCTAAGAAAAGCATATGAAAAGATGCTCAACATCCCTCATCATAAGGGAGATGCAGATCAAAACCACAATGAGATACCACCTAACCACAGTCTAAATGGCAAAGATTAAAAAAATCAATACATTATAAATGCTGCTAGAGATGTGGTGAAAATGTAACTCCTACACTGCTGGTGGGAATGTAAATTGGTGCAGCCACTGTGGAGAACAATATGGAAGTTCCTCAAAGATCTAAAAATAGAACTACCATATGATCCAGCAATTCCACTCCTGTGTGTCTATCCAAAGGACAGGAGAATGCTTAGTCAAAAAAGTGCTTGCACATCTATGTTTATTGTGGCTTTATTCACAATTGCTAAGCTATAGAACCAACCCAAATGTCCACAAAGAGATGAATGCATTGGAAAAGTGTGGCACATATATTCAATTGAATGCTACTCAGCCATAAACGTCAACAAGACCGTGGCATTTGATAGAAAGTGGATGAATATGGAAGATTTACTGCCAAGTGAATGAAGGAAGCCAGGCTATGAAAAAGAGACATTGTATGATTCCACTCAACATATACTGACTGTCTGCACTCTACAGTGGAAAGAGAGACTAGAGGACATAGAAGCATTAAAAATGGTTACACAGGGACCAGCAGTTAGTGTAATGGCTATGTTGCTGGACTCCCATGTAGTCGACTGTGGCTCGAGATCTGGAATTGGTGGCTTAAACCACGCCAGGCACGTGTGCGTGCGTGCCCAAGATCCAGAGAGGAGAATGGAGGAGAAGGGATTGCGGTGTGGCCATCACCCCTGGGGGGGGGGATGATTTCTCACTTCTGTCTGTCTGTCTCTGGCTGTCTTTCTGGCAAGTGCACACGCCCTATAGTAAAAACCTCTCCAAAAAAAAAAAAAAAGATTTTTTGGGGGGCTGGCAGGTGGCGTGGTGGTTAAGGTGCTGGACTCCGACATGACTGACTGTAGTTCAAGTCCTGAACCTGGCGGCTTGCTTTCCCACTTTCCTCTTTTATTATCCTCTCTGTCTCTTTGATCAAATTAAAAAATAAATAATAATAACAAATAAAATTAAAAAATAATTAAAAAATATATTTTGCACTTGCCAGAGAGAGAGAGAGACAGAGACAGAGAGAGAGGGAAAGTGAGAAAGCACTCCTTAGGGTGAATGACCATGCTGGAACCCCTTCTCTTCTGTTCTTCCCTCAAGATTTTGGGCACACATGCTCATATATCTAGCTTGTTTTCCAAGCTACCAGGTTCGGTACTGGAACCACACAGTCGACCATGTGGGATCCAGTTGCCCTAATCTCCATGACACCTGCTGACCCCATAGGATTATTAAAGACAGTGTACATATATTGTGTCCGTAACTCTTATATGTTTACAAGACCACTGAACAAAGCAATAGTAATAAAACTGTGCCAATGGGTTGAAATAGAAAGATGTAATTTTGTGAAAATAATAGCAATAAGGAGAAGGGGGTTCATGAAGCAATACGTACTGGACGGATGTTTTAGGATAGTACTTAAATAGTATCAATCTGAAGTAGATTGTTTTAAATTAAGATGTTAATTGCAATTCTCAAGGCAACTGAAAAATATAGTAAAGAAAGAAAAAGCAAATGAAAAGGAACAGTTGAAAATATCTAACACAAAGGAAGACAGAATATGAGAACCAGAGGGATTTTAAAAAGGCATGAGATGGGCCAGCAGGTGGTGTGGTGGTTAAGATGCTGGATTCCAACATGGCTGACTATGGTTTGAGTCCTGGACCTGGCAACTTGAAAACCATGACAGGCACATGTATGTGTGTACTCAAAATTCCAGGAGGAGAATGGAGGAGAAGGGATTGGGACATGGCCATCCCCCATGGGGGCAGATTTCTCACTTTCCCTCTTATTGTATAGGAAGTATAACAGGGAGGGCAACCGTAGATTCTTGTAATAGTATTGGGTGATGGTAATAGGGGTGGGTGATGGAGGGAGGGAGTGAAGGAAAGACGGAAAAAGCAACAACAGTTTTTTGTTTTAAGAGGTTTTTGCCATAGGGTGTGTGCACTTGCAGGAGAGGGGGAGAGAGAGAGAGAGAAAGAGAGAGAGAGAGAGAGAGAGAGAGAGAGAGAGAGAGAGAGAGAGAGAGAGAGAGGAGAGAGAAAGAGAAAGAGAGGGATGTAATGTGAGAATTCTCCTCCTGGGATCTTGGGCACTCAAGTACACATATCCAGTGTAATTTTCAAGCCATCAGGTCCAGGACTTGAACCGTGGTGCACTGTATTTGTGCTGGGAAAAACCATGTTGAACACTGTAAAGATGTACAATAACTAAAACTAAATAAATATAAAAAAGGTATAATGTGTATATATATATAAAATATATACACACACAAACACATATATATATACTTAGTAAATGTTTGTGAATACCAGATACAGTGTGGGAAGAGGGCAGAAGAAGGAGTAGAGTCTGGGGAAGAACATTAAGGAGAAAAATAGAGAGGCAAGGCATTTATGGGACAAAGAAATGGATTATTATCTATTGAAGATAACTTTCTAGTATTGTCAACCGGACTGGTGAGACATGTACACATGTTGGAATATTCACTTTGTAAGCGAAGTAACATGTGATTACATGTATAAAAAAATTGAAATAAAAAATAAAAAAATTAGAAAGGTCTAATATATATAGAAAAGAAATATGAAAATGGAGCGTTATCAGTAGTTACAGTAGATGTAAATATATGAAACACTCCGGTCAAAGTCAAAGAATGGAGTCGAAACGGTGGTACAGGGGTAATGCAATGCTCTGTGAAGCTAAAGATGGGAGGGTCTGGGTTTGCATGATGAGGTCTGTCTACATACAGTGAGGATGTGAATGAGTGACAGTATCCTGTCTAGCTGATGCTGGGGTGTAGATGATGGCATCGAAGACCTTTTTGGGGGTGCTTCTTCCTCTCTTTCATAGAAGAGATAAATAAATTAAAATGAAATCAGAGAAGGGTGGTATGGGCAAAAATATTCTTTCTGTAGGAGGCATATTTTAGATTCAGAGGCAAATAAGTTGAAAGCAAAAAAGAGGGAAGCAGTAGGCAAATGAGAGCTGCAGTGAATATATTAAAATCAGGCAAAATAGGCTTTAAGATAAAAATGGTTGGGTCAGCAGGTGGAGTAGTGGCTAAGATGCTGAACTCCCATATGGCCAACTGTGAGGAGAATGGAGAAGGGATTGCAGCATGGCCATCCCCATTGAGGCAGTGTGTGTGTGGGGGTGATTTCTTGCTTTCTGTCTGTCTTTTCTCTTCAGCAAGCACCTGCATCCTATAGCAAAAACCTCTCAAAAAAAAAATAAAAAAAGACAGATTTAAAGACATTCTCCTTAATGATTATAATCTTCTACCAAAAAGATGTCATAGGGATTATAACTTAGTCTCTCTCTCTCTCTCTGTATTATGCTCAGGCATAATGAAACTGTTCCATGGGCTCTAGTAACCACCATGGGTGTGTCGGGAAGGTAAGGACAGTTGGAATTTGCATTTACTGCGTAGATGTTCCGTAAAGGCAAGGCCTGGCTCCTGCAGAGATAGCCACAACCACGACGGGGACTCCGTAACCCACAGGGTACATGAGCCACTTCATGAGTCTGTTCACGCTGGAGTAATTGACCACCATCAGGTTCCGCGCGGTGAGGAACAGGTGCAGGCCCTCCAGCAGCATCCAGGTGAAGGAGGCCAGGTACAGGTAGTGCAAGGCCCCCGCGATGATGGCGCACAGCACCTGCCGGGGAAGAGCCACTCAGAATGGTAGTCAGGGTCTGAAAGTAGACCAGGGTTCCCATTGTACCCTGCCATGGGGAGGATTCTTCCTTTTTTTTTTTTTTTTTTTT